TGCAGGACCTGGCACTTGGAGAGAGGTAGTTTTAAAGTAGCATAAGTAGTATTTTGTTAAAAGAGAACACTCTTACTGGACTTAATTAATCTCTCTTTCATGAATAGTAAAAGAATAACTGATTTTTTTTTAGCCATATTTTTGCTTACTCTTATCTTTTGTAGCCATTGAGAAATGTTATGTGGATTCTTGGAGATCCTGAAGGAATTTTTCTTCTTTTAATATTCCAGTCTTAAAAATGTGTGCTTCATAAGTCTTAAATTAGTCTTGACTAATTTACTTTTTTAAATATGTGTATTTATATTTTATACATACATATACATACATATGCACACATATACGTAAATATAGTATATATGTGAAATCGGTCTTGTTTTTTAACAAGTTTCCTTTAGAAGAATATGTAGAAGGAGCAATTGAAGGGGCAAGGAAAGATGTCACTGAAAGTTGGTGATCTAGTGGATTTCAAGACAAATAATTTCTTGTAATGAATTTTGACTTTTAGTGCAAAAATGGCTGAATGTGTTGTTTTAGTATGTATATTGTACAGCTGCTTAAGATGGAAACTCTCCCTGTTGCTTAAATGAGATGACATATATTTATTTGATGTATCATAGAAGACAGTGGGATTCACTCATTCAGTTTATTTTTATTTTTTTCTACAGGTACAAATCCCTGGACTCGAGAGTTTACAAGTATTTGTACCAAATAGTATTGCAGGGGAAAAATCTGTGATCTTGCAGCTCCTCAATGCAGCTGCTGGAAAGGATTGCTCAAAGGATTCAGATGAGGTTGCGTATGAGGCCTATTTACTAATGACCAAACATAGTGATAAAGACCATGAATTAGATGACAGCTGGAGTGCATGGGAGGGTCAGCCGATCAAAGTAGTGCCACAAGTAGAAACTGTTGATACACTGCGCACCATGCAGGTGGGTTTTGGGTTGTTTGATTTTTTTTTTTCCTGCTTATGTGATCTCCACACTTCAATGAATGCTTATCCTTTCAGATTAACCACAGTAATTTAAGTGAGGCATGTGTCCTTTTATAAATAATAAAAAGTTAAATTCAAGGATAGGATTGATTCTTAGTTGTGTTAATGCAAGTATTAAATTCCATGGATTTTAGCATTTCTTAGAAGGATTAGTGTCTACAATGTGCATTTTTCAGGGTTGGACTTCTATAATAAAGAGATACTTTCAGTATCTAGTTGGGTGTTCAGTATCAGAAGTACGGATAGGACTTGAAAACTGTACATTTTATTAAGAAGTCACCAGTCTCCGAGAATGTGCGGCGGTTGTGTGCTTTCCACACACTGAGGCATGAAACCAGTTACTTTCGATCTTGGATGGATTGTGACATTTAAAGTTAAATTTCTGTGGAAGCTACTGGATGTTTAACAGTTCTGCAGGAAGAAATCTTTCCAGTCATACTTTCCTTCATCCCAAGCCAACAGGGGTTCCCTGCCAGCAGTTCTGCTATGCTTTAGCAAGCGAGCCAGCTGCAGCTCCCTGCCCCTTCTGTTCTCACATCCTTATGTTAAGCTAAGTGAATTTTCCTTCTGGTATGTCATCCAGTTCCTTGGATCCCTACCTTAAATGGGCTCTACTATCCACGAACAGTGTGACTTTCCATGTCGCTGTGCCTGGCCTCTAGCATTCAGAGGGCTCTAGCAATTACAGGCAGTTGAAGAAGTCACTCCTGTACATACTGCTGTTTTTAACAAGCAAGCATATTACTTCTTCCAGACTGAACAATAAAAAAATAGCCTTTGATTAAGTGCTTAGAATTTCATTGGACTTCTGTCGAAGTTAGCATTTCATTCAGAAAATGAAAACAGCAAAAGATGGAATTTGGTTTGCAAATGGTATTCTATCTGACATGTGTAAGTGCACATAAAACACTGTGTGTTTGCGTACGTGTTTATATGTGTATAACACTGATTATTAATTTTTTAAAATCCAACATTGAAAGGTTAGGAAGTAAAAAGTCTTTCAGAAAGATTGTGTCCTGTGTTTTTAAAAAACATGTTTTGATTGCAAACTAGAGAAAATAGAAGATGTTACTTTAAAAGTATTCATAAAATAGAAGAATCCCATCAACATTTAAAGAATTTTAAGAATGAAAATATTCTTTGGGGATGAGGTATTGAAAATCTGGATAAAGTAGGTTTTGTTTTGTGAGTAACTTGTTGCAAATGCATTGTCTGTAGTTTGAAATCAACAGAGCTTAGTACGTGACTCATAGCGCCACAGCAAGGCAACACCATCTGTGACTGTGTACTTTTATAGACTTCTGCCATATCAGAGCTCTGGTTTCCAAAACATACTCTTACTTTTTAATAATTTTCAAAATTTTAGCAAATACTGTGTGGTAAATCTATGGCTTTCCCTTTTCAATAGTAGGGTTTTGTCCTGAAGCGTATTACATTACTTGGATAAAACCCGCCTATTTATGTGATGGTTGTTACCTCCATCTGCTTTGAGAAAATATATTTTGCTTAGTTGCTGCCTTTCTGTGTATAACTATTCTGAAGATAATTTTAATGCAGTGTTTCCCAAACCTTTCCAGAAGTGAATAGGAGTATATTCCCCTTGAGAACTTGCTGTGGCATTTGCCCTAATAGAGCTCTGCTCATAAGATGAGAGTTTATCAAGTTCGGTTGCCAGCATCATGCTTTTCTGTGTGAATTAAAGATTTTCATGAATAGTGACAAGAGAGGTCTTTCATATATTAGAATTAAAAAAATAACCAGTTGGAATTTGCTGATATGGGACATGTTTTTCTTGAGATGATTTTGTTTATAAGAACTAGTGGTATCTTGTATTCCTAGGTTGATAACCTCCTCCTTGTAGTCATTCAGTCTGCCCACCTTGTGAGTCAGAGAAAAGCTTTCCAGCAGTCTATTGAAGGGCTCATATCTCTGCACCAGGAACAGACATCCAGCCAACCAGTCATCGCCAAAGCTCTACAACAGCTAAAGGTAAGCAGTTTTCGAGATCATGCCAGTCAAAATTGATGGTGCTTTGCTCACTGATAAGTAAAAACATGTAAGGAGACTTGATTGCAATGCTAATGACATATTCTGCAATTGTAATTTATGCAGCCTCTCTGGACTTTACTTTCACTACAATTTTCATTCTGTTTTTACTGATTTGTGAGTGTATTTTTGAGCAATATTGGTGTCATCATTTTTGCACTGGGTGAGAAGCAAGTCCATAATGCAATAGAAATATTAATAGCAACAGAATAAATACATCTTCTATGAGAGCACTATTGAATTGAAAGTAAGTGTTTGATTTCATAAAAATAAATTCTATCAAAGTCCATGATCTGCAAGAAACAACTTTTTTTTTCTCATGTTTGGAGAAGGTGGCTGCTTTGTGATGTAAAAGTGGATAGGTCTCTCTCTGTGTTTTTTGCTCTTGTTTTTGGTGTGTGGTTTTTTTTTTTTGTTGCTGTGGGGTTTTTTTTTTTTGGTTGGATGAAGGTTTTCTTTGGTGGGTATTTTTTTTGTTTGTTTGTTTGTTTTTTTGGAGGACCCAGAAAAGCAAAGATTTGTTAGGTTGAAGTTGCAATATCAGGTCCCTGCATTTGCCCCTGAATTCAGTAGAAGCTGTGCCCACATACCAGGGTGAAAATACAACCAAAGGCTTGGTCACGTTATAAGTAGTAAAACTCATTTTCTCTACTCTTGTCTGTCTGATTTCGGTTGGGTGTTTTTGTTTGGGTTTTTTTGTTTGGTTTTTTTTTCCCCTTCGCTGTCTTTGTTTTTAAAGTTAATCTCACGCAAGCAAACAAACTTAATTACAATACCTTCAATTAATTATAAGACTTGCTTAGTGCAACTGCTGGAACGTGTTTGTTTTTCCAAGACTGAATGGATTGTGATGGCATTAAAGTACATTTCCATTTAAAATAATGTAATTGTTAGTATCATGTTTGCCTTAGTCTTGTCAACTGTAGAATATAAATAATAATTTGATGTCCCCCCATCCCTTTTTGTTGTTTTTACTCAGAGTGATGCATTACAGCTATGCAATAAGATAAGCAGTGCCATTGATAGAGTTGATCACATGTTCACATCTGAGTTTGATGCTGAAGTTGATGAATCTGAATCTGCCACTTTGCAGCAATACTACCGGGAAGCCATGATTCAGGGTTATAATTTTGGGTTTGAGGTAAGGAAACAAAAACTTAATGACACATTTATTTTGTAGTTTTGGTAAAAAACAATTGAAAATTCTGATTTTGCATTTGTGCAAATAAGATAACTATAACTCTGTGGAAATACGAAGAATTCTAGCAGACCATTGTAAAAAATATGTGTTGCCACAGAAATCTTATGTGAAAATGATTGAAAAAGAACAGATAGATCTGTTAAATTCAGACTCCAATTAGCAATGACTGGAACTCTAAAAAGCTTTAAGAACTTGATGAATTCAGGTGTAGTCTTGTAGGCTCTGCTACTTGGCAACATTTTAGATGAAATCAGAAATATCCTTTGATACTGAATGTCATTGTGTAACTTGACTTCTCGCAGTTTTTCATCCTAGAATAGCATAATACTGTAATATGATCCATTCTGTCAAAGTTTATGGTGGTTCTTTGATGCAGTGAATATAGCTTTTGAGTGCCTTCCTTAGAGTGCTGATGAGGAAATGTTCAGATGCTTCTAGTATACTGTTTCACTATTTGATTTCTGTGAGCTTTGTAAAATTTTTTAAGATTGTATCATACCCTAAATTACTTCTAAGGATAGTCTTCTAAAAAACAGCTGGTATTTCTGTTTAATTTTTTAAACATATATATATAACTCCTTTATCCCCTAATGTTACCTGCAATATAACTGAAAATAATCACTACTTTGTGGTTCAATCTCTGATAACAGAACAGAGCATTTATGTAGGATGTTTCTGAGATGATGTGTACACTGTTAAACATCAGCACATGCCCGTATACACACAAGAATGCAATATGGCTCAAGAGCTGCTTCTCACTATATAACACATTTTGTGTCATATACTTTTTCATGATTTTTTTTCTATAAATATGCAACTGCTTGCATAAAATCATTTTGTTTAAGAATAGGATGTGTCTGTTACCATACTGTAGAGTTTTGTTAGCCTGCAGATGCTCCAGTGGATATTGCAAATGGTATTTTTGTTCTTCTTATTAATATGTGAAAAGTAATCTTTAGTTTCTTACAGTACCATAAAGAAGTTGTGCGTCTGATGTCTGGAGAATTCAGGCAGAAAATTGGAGACAAGTATATCAGCTTTGCCAGAAAATGGATGAATTATGTGCTAACAAAATGTGAGAGTGGCCGAGGCACTCGACCCAGGTAACAGCCAACTTGTTACTGCCATAGTAGTTTGTGTTTAAATACCATGCAGGACTTTTCACACTGTGAATAATGCTTTATTGTTTAGAAGTAGGTCTTCTGAACTATTGATGCTTCTGGCTCTTAAATTTTGAAAGTAATTTGGATGGTAAATGCATAAAGCCAAAGGAACACTCCAGCTGCTTAGCAGAAGATTTTGTGGAACATGTTGCCTCATGTTAGCTGATAGAAAATGGGAAGAAAAAGTGGAGATTGTTGGACCCAGATAATTAAAAGACTTTAGATAAGGGTCGTTAGGTTGGAACAAAATTGATCAGGAGTCAGTAAAGATTGCAGAATATGCAACAGTCATTCTCTGCATATTCTACAGAGAAAGGAGTATTGTTTTGTGCCAGTTGTGGAATCAATGTACATATGGAAGCTTTAGCCTCCTGTAGAAGTTCCTCTATTAGTCCTTTCTGAAAGCATGTAAAGTATGGCCCACAGATGAGGAAGAAGTGTTTCCACTCTGGTGAAAATTCTTCAGTTTTATGATTGCAGTGAAGGATGCATTTGTGGATGTTTTTTGTTGTAGTCTGAAGTATTTTCTCTCTGTTGACAGGAGTGTTGTGCCCAGTGGTCTCTGAAATTGTGCTTACAATTGGTGCTATGAAACTATACTGCTGGGCACTAATGAATCATAGAATCATAGAATCATTAAGGTTGGAAAAGACCTCTAAGATCATACAGTCCAACCATCAACTCACAACCACCATGCCCATTAAACCATGTCCCTAAGCGCCTCATCTATACGTCTTTTAAATACTTCCAGGAATGGTGACTCCACCACTTCCTTGGGCAGCCTGTTCCACGGCTTGACCACTCCTTCAGTAAAGAAATTTTTCCTAATGTCCAGTCTAAACCTCCCTTGAAAAAAGTTACGAAGTTACATCACTTTGAGGATGTAAACAGAGAAACCGGGAAACTGGCCCAATCAGAATGATACCATTACTTGATTTATTTAGGTGGTTTTGCAGCATTTTGCAGCTGGTATATCAGAAATTTAATAGAATTCTTTTGCATTAAAATAGGTGCCTTATATTGATCTGTCCTAGCAGATTACACATCAGTGACAGTTTTGTTTCCTTAAAGTATAGGGCTGATCAGTCTGTCCTGGAGGTGGTTTGT